GCAGATGTTTTGAAACGGCAGGGTTTTCCTTTAACATATCCTAGCTAAAATTCTTGGGTATGAGCCCTTACCCCTGTGATCTAGTCGGAGTAGATTTGTTTTTCTCTTTTCTTATGGTTTTTCCTCTCTATTTTTTTGACATGATAATTACGTAATCTAGTGGATGTCTAGTTTCCTCTTCAGCAAGTAAGCTTCAGGGCATAGGGATCGTTGGTCTTATTCATTGCTGGATCCTCGGCCCCTAAAACAGCATTGGGCATTCATTCCTGAAGCTGACGGATCGCTGGGGAGTGTCTGTCCTGTGCCGCTAGGCATCGGGGGTGGAGAAGGGATAGCAGTTTGCCAAACACTGACGCCGTTCTTGTGGAACTTCCGTTCTAGTGGGCAGAGAACACGCTATCGTGAGCCGTGGTGGGTACTCAGCGTGTCATGAGCAGGGTAAGGGGCTCCTGGCGCAGGCGGTTTCCTCTGATCCCTTGATATTTGAGCAGGGACCTGAAGGAAGGGAGGGAGGGGGCTCTGGGGGGAGATTTGGGAGAGTCCCCAAATCTACTCAGGTACAGGCCCTGAGGGGAGAGCATGCTGGGCTGTCCCAAGAGCCAGTGTGGCTGGGAGGCAGCACAGGGGAGGGGAGAGGGGATGGGGTGGGACTTCGGAGGCCACCCTAAGGACTACCCGGCCGTGCCCCACTGCCCAGAGAACTCTGAACGCTCTGGTTTCCGTCTTCAGTGGGCTCCCGACACCCCCAAACTTGATGAGCTTCTCAGTTACGTACTTGCCCAGCACCCAGCCTTCTATGTGGGTCATGTCTGTCTCCACGACTCCATCGCTGGCCGCCTGAGGACAAGGACGCCATCTGTCCTGCTCACTGCTGTATCCCGGGTTCCTAGGAGGAAGCCCGGGACACAGAAGGTGCTCGGTAAATATTTGCTGGGTGGTGGCTGGGTGAAAGCAGCCTGCTCTGTTCCTCTGGGCTTTCGCTTCTATTTTCTGCCCAGTCTGAAGGGCTCCGAGCTGAAGGCGGACGCCAGGCCGGGGACAACTCACTGCCCCCGCCCTCCCAGAACCCGGTCCCTGTTCCCGTCGCCTTCAAGCCCTGGCCCGGACCTGCTCCAGGCCTGAGAGGCCCCAGGAGGCCTGAAGTAGTTGCCCTCAGACTCTGCAGACACCCCTTCCCCCACTCAGAACATCTGTCGAGTTTGCAGTTCAAGAGTAATTCTGTGTGCCCTCTCCCTACTCCGTCCGTTTCTGAGACAAGACAGCCACCCAGTGGTAATTTTTCTAGGCTTTTGTTTATTTTATAGCAATTGTCATGATTAGAGAAGTAAATAACACATTTAAAAACCTTCTCAGGGCCAAAGGATGCCAGAATATTTACAAACACATGGTGGGGGGGGGGTGGCAAGACAGGAGGGGCTGGGATTCCGCCCAGGCCCTGAGCCAGGCTTGGATGTTGATGCTAGCCACCAGGACTGTCCCACCGGCCACAGCACGGGCTCAGGGGGCAGTGGCGGCCGTGGGGCTCTGCTCAGTGGGGCTCTAGCTAACCTGCGGCCCCGCCTCCTGCCCAGGGGGCTCCCCACGCCCCACAGGCCAGCTCAGAGGGGCCTCTGGGAAGCACCGAAGGACAGGGGCAGTATGGAGGCACAGGGGCTATGACAGTGACCGGGGATGACCCAGCCTGCCCGGGATGGGACGGACACGCTCACACACACACATACACACACACACACACACACCTTCACAGAAGAATCGCCAGGGGAAGATCTTTTGTGTGTTTTTCGTCTTCTAAGTCTGCGTGTCTACGGTGTTATTAATTTTTTGCTATTTGTTTCTTCGACAGTGACATAAACTGAGGTAAACATCTGTGACCAACACCTCTCCTAAGGGGCGAGGGGTCCCAACCCAACTAGCAGGTGGCAGCACAGGGCCCCGGCGGCCACGGAGCAGGCCGGGCTTCTTCGGCCCTGCTCCTGCGTGGGGCCATCGCTGCCCCTCTCTGTGCCTCCGCAAACAGGGGCTGGGCTACATAACTACGGTCCCCTTCCCGAGTCTAACATTCTAGATACTACGACGAGGGAGAAACTCCCAAAGAGGATCTTAACAGAGAAAGAGAGAGAGAGAGAGAGAGGGCACACGGCGAGGGACATCTACTTGGAATCTTGCTTCCTTGTTATTGCAGGAGAGACGGGGTGTCGAGAGGCCTAAGGCAAAAGGAGAAGTCGCAGCTGGGAGAGAGAGGTGGCCCGGATGGGCTCCAGGTGGGCCAGGGGCAGTGACGGGGGGCCTTCTCTGAAACTTGGCCCGTGGTGGGAGGAGGGTTTGCTACTTACCTGGCGTGTGGAGGGCCCCAGTGCCCACTGGAGAGATGGGTCTCGAGGAGGGCGGGCGCACCGAGGAGAGCGGGGCCAGGCCCTGGGGCAACCGCAGTTTGTAAACTGGACCCAGGCAGGGCAGGGGGACCTATAGCCCTTTTGCGCGATGGGGATGAGGGATGAGTGGAGAGGTGGGGGCTCCAGGCCAGAGGGTGGTCAGGCCCTCCCTGGCCAGCCCGGCTCATCAGAGAGCCCCCTCAGATGGCCTAGAACCCCAGTGGGACCCTGGCAGGTGCGGCCCGGGCTGGTGGACGGGACACGGTCAGGCAGAAGGAGCAGCCTCACCCCTGTAGAGGTTATTGCGGGGTCCCAGGCCTCCAGAGATGGCAGGGGTCATGGGGGAACCCTGGGTGAGCTGGGGGGCCTGTTTTGCTGCCTGGGGGCTGGAACCAGCCCGCAGGTGCCTCCCTGCCAGATTCCCTGAGGGGCGGGTGAAGCACAGGCCTGGACGCCCTCTGGCAGCTGCCTGGGGAGGGTCCTGGGGCAGAGTGGTCTCCAGAGGCGTCTGGATGCAATCACCGAACACACAGGACTGCACGCGTACACGTCCACTCTACTCACACACCGCACGCACGCCTACTCACACACACTCACCCCCCTCCTGTTTCCACGGACCCCCATTCTCACGCCCACAGCGGCATACTCCAGGACCGGGAACCTGGGGGACGCGGGGACGGGGGCAACCCCAGGCTGACATGCTGGTCTCCGGCAGAAACCCGGGGGTATTCCTGGCACGAATCACCTCGCCGCCTGCCAGCAGCCCAGGCCACCGGGTCTGGGCTCGGGGAGCCAGGAACTAGGATCTGGGGTTCCCGGGCCTGGGCAGGTGCGGCCAGCAGGGGGAGCTGGGCCGGCCCTAGGCTCGGCGCTCACTCCCTTCGCCTTAGGGATGCGGCGGGGGGCGGGGGGAGGAGGGCAGCTGAGGCCCCGCCCCGGCAGCCCGTCAGTCACGAGGGAGTGGGACGCTCGCTGGGGAGGAGGGGGAGGGCCTCGAGAGCGCCACCTCTCAGGGGCTGTGCGGCTCCAGGCCAGTTGCCCTCCTCCTGTGCTCAGTGTCCTCATCCGGGGAACGGGTTGTGTGGGAGTCACTAGATTCTTCGGGTCCGTGCCTGTACACACACACTTTTGCAGCATCCAGACATTTGCTACATTTTGCCGAGGGCTTTTGGCCTCTTCCCTCCAGCCTCCCGGGAAAGGGGCAGGACGCAGGTGAGCAACGCCCCTGCCCTCAGCTCATCGCCTCCCCCCCCCCCACCCCGCCCGCAGCCAGTGTCCGGGGGCCCTACCCCCCTTCTCTGCCCCAACACTTCAGTCCCCTTATGTGCCCGGGGGCGTGGTGGCGCAGGGTAGGGTGGCCAGGAGGGCAGGGCCAGGGGTGGGACTGTGGGACGATCTGCCAGGGGGGTGCAAAGGGCCAGGAGCAACTAGGCGGGGTTCCAGGGTTCGGGGCGGTGTGGGGGAGTCTGCCCGCAAGCTCCCTTGCTCCTGGTGTCGGGGGACGGGGGAGGGGCGCCTCTGAATCCTCGGGTCTGTGGGGCTCGGCTCCTGTGGGCCAAGTCCCTGCCCCACAGGCGGGGCGAGAGGTCTTTCGGTGGCTATCTCGGCGGCCCGCCGCGGACCCGGCGCCTGGGCCCGCCGTCCCGCCTAGCCTACCGCTACTCCCTCCTGCCGCCGCGGGGGCTGGTCGGATTTGCCGCGGCCGCCGCCAAGCCCCCCGTTTTGGCGCGGGCCCGGGGCGGCTCCCGGCGGCCCGGCCCGGTGCGAGCG